TTTCCCAAACCCTGGCTTCTCTGTCCCTGAGAATTCTTTCCTCCAATGATCTTGCCCTCCACCCTATTACAGCCACTCATTTCATACCCTAGTGTAGACCCTGTCATTACTAATAACAGCAAATCCCTCCATAAAATCAGAGCCAGGCATTCCATTCACCCTCTTAAAACCACCTCTTAACTTTCTAGCTCTTCTCCCTACCCTAAACCTGACACCCTTTCAACCCCTCTGGAACCTCCAACTGATTCTATCAACTTCCCACTGCCCCCGTTCCCTTATTGGCTTCACCCCCCTCTTTACCAAGCTTGAATCACATAACCAATTGTCATCATTCCCTCTCATACACCTTTGATTCTCTCTCTCTCTCTTTTCCTAATTCCTTGGCAAAATCACAACCCTGACTAAATGTAACTGTCCATCAATTCAATGTCTTCATGTATGTACCTAAACAAAGTTAAAGAAAAATACACAACCACGATAACCTGTCCTACTTTAATTTCTTGACCATGAATCTTAAATAGCCATTTATTTATTTATTTATTTATTTATTTATTTATTTATTTTAAAGATTTTATTTATTTATGACAGAGAGAGACACAGCGAGAGAGGGAACGCAAGCAGGGGGAGTGGGAGAGGGAGAAGGAGGCCTCCCGCGGAGCAGGAAGCCCAATGCAGGGCTCGATCCCAGGACCCTGGGATCATGACCTGAGCCGAAGGCAGACGCTTAACGACTGAGCTACCCAGGCGCCCCTCAAATAGCCCTTGAATGTGGGCTGGCTGGCAATCACATTTTCCCGGTCCATACTACCTATCTTCATACCATCTCCCTCTCCCTCCCTCTCTGAACAAGACTTCATTCTCATTCTCAGTGATGACCTTGCTTCCCACATTACAGATAAAACCGATACAGTTGTAAAGAACTTTTTAGACCTTCATCACACTGCCAACAGCCACATGTACTCTGCCTTACCATCTGTTATCACAGATAAATTATTCATAATTCTATTGTGCATAGCTCTCATCTCTCACTGACACCCACATCATGAATTCTCCCCTCTCCTGAACATCATAAATTATCTGATGGAGATGTTCTATTTTGAAAAAAACAAAATGCTCTCTTGACTTTACTTCTTCTCCAGCCAGGGCCTTATTTGTTCACTAGCCTTCACAGTAAAACTGCTTTTAAAAAAGTTGTCTATGTTATTCACAGTATCTAATTCATATCCCTCCATCTTCTCTTAAAACCACTTTAATCAGGGTTTCATCCACACCACTTCACCAAAACTGTTCTTATCAAAATCAACATCGATTGCCACTTCACTAAAATCAATGGCCAACTCTTAGCTCTCATCTTACTTGACTTTCAGCAACATTATCCTATATAATCACTCCTCTCTTCTTGATAAACTTTCTCTACTTCCAAAACATGTAATTTCTAGTTTCTAGACATTCTTGACAGTCATTCTTTCTTAGTCTTCATTCTCTCCTACCTTTACTATTGGAGTCACTCAGATTCCAGCCCTTCATCATCTCCCCTTCTCCATCTTTACTTCTTCCTTCTTTCATCTCTTTTCATCACTTGGCTTTAAAGACCATTTATATGTCAACAACAGTTGATTTTATATCTTCTTCCCAGACCAATCTCTCACACTCCAGACATGCTTATTTCATCACCCACATGATCTCACTAGTTCTTGATATTATCATGTCCACAATCAGACTTCTGATCTTGGCCCTACTCTTCCCTAAAACCCACCAAATGTGCTTCCCCTGCAGCCTTCTCCATCTCAGTTGATACCAATCCAATTTATTCAGGCCAAAAACCTTAGAGACATCTTTAGCTCTCCTTTCTCTCTTACCCCACATCCAATCCATGGGGAAATCCTGATGGCCCAACTTTAAAATACTTCCAGAATCCAAATTCTCACTACCATTTCTGCCCCCCTTAGTTAGAGCTACCATCATCCCTTTTACCAGACTGTTATGATGGCCTCCTATCTGACCTTTCTCCTTTTACCCTCTCTGTCTATAGTGTATTCTCACATAGTTGTCAATGTGGTCCTCTTAAATTATAAATCACACCAGGGCACCTGGGTGGCTCAGTCAGTTAAGCATCCTGCTCTTGATTTTGATTCGGGTCATGATCTCAGGGTCCTGGGATCAAGCCCTGCATCAGGCTCTGCACTCAGTGGGGAATCTGAAGATTCTCTCTCTCTGCCCCTTCCCCCATCTGCTTGTGCACTCTCATGTTCTCTCTCTCTCTCGAATAAATAAATCTTAAAAAAAAATAAGTCAGATCATGGGATTCTTCTGCTCAAAAACCTGTGAGAATTCCCATTTTGCAAAGAGCTCTAAATCCTTATAATGGCCTTTAAGGCTCTGCTCTACCTGACCTTCCCAGGCTGGTATTTCCCCTCACTCCAGGCTCAGGGGGTCTCTGTGCTGTTTCTCAAACTTATAGACTCATTCCTCATTCATTGACGTATCCCAAATACTTGAAGAGCGCCAGGTAACCTAATAGGCCTCCAATAAAAATTTGTTAAAGGAAAGTCAGGTAGAACAATTAGAAAGCTATTGTTAATTTGTCAATGATATCCCAAGAAAGCTGAAGAAAATGTACAATAAAGCTATTGTAATAGTCTGAAAAATAGCTAATGAAGATTCAGTTCAATCCTACCTTGCAAATGTTTTCTGAAAGTGCAAAGATAAATAATCCCTGCCCTTGAAGACCTTATGGTGGAGAGACAGACAGGTAATTTTAAAATGTTAAAAGATAATAGAACAAAACCAGGGCATCCTAGAGAGAGCAGCATGAACAAAGATTGGGAGACATGAAATACCATCATGCAATGGAGAACTGAAGGCAAGTCAGTCTGATTAGATGTGATGGTCTGGTTGATAGGACTACTTGGCTAGATTACAGTCTCCATTACTCAATGAACACTTATCTAGGTGTTGCTGTGAAGGTGTTTTGTAGGGATATAATTAAAGTCCATAATCAGTTGCTTTCAGTAAGAAAGATTATCCTAAATAATCCGGGCAGGACTGATTCAATAAGTTGAAAGGTCTCAAAAACAGAGCTGAGTCTTCTCTGAAGAAATTCCTCCTATAGACAGCAGCTTCAGCTGTGCCCAAAAGTTCCAGCATGCCATTCATGATAGCCTGCTCTATGGATTTCAGGCTTTCCTACATAGCCTTCCCAATTATGGAAGCCAATTTCTTGTAATAAATCTCTAAATATCCATCTTCTCCTGGTTCTGCTTTTCTGGTTGAACTGGAACTGATAAACTAGAATATAAGGATTAAGGCAGAAGGGGGTAAAAATGAAGGATGAGAGGCAGTAGAGCTAGATCAGGAAAGGCATTTGTTTTTTTACATGCTCAGAGGTTTGAACTTTACCTCATATTCAGTAGGATCAACAAGGTGAATGACATGATTAGGGGTAGAGATGAATTATTCTGGATTCGATATAAAGGATGTACTGGGACAGGAAGCAAGGGGAAGAGAGAGATGCTGGTGGTTGGGAAACCATTGAAGTTACCTGTGAGAGAAGTAAGAGGAGAACCAAGAAAGAAGGTCATCATGGAAACAAGGGAACAGTGTTGTGAGGAAGAAGTGGTGGTCCACCCTGGTCTGGTGCATTAGAAGAGTCTATCACTCAGCATTCTGTGATAAAAGGAGGTCATGAAGGGCCTCAAGACAGCTGTGAAAGAGTGGATAATCTAGAAATCAGACTGTATTAGGTTCAAGAGGGGCTAGGAAGTGGGAGAGAATAGAAAATAAGAGTAGATAATTCTTTTAGAGGAGGAAACATGGCAGAAGAGAGAAAAGGTCAGTGTCAAATGAAAATGATTAGAATGGAAGAAGCTTAAGCCTTCTTAAGCCAAAAGCAAGGGAGGAGAAAAGACGAGGAAGAGAGTACACATTCTCCTGAGTGAGGCTCAAGAGAGGAGGGGTGGCCAAAGCCACAGGGGAAGTCTTGGTCAAGGACAATGGGAGGATCTTCACTTTCTGAAAACTGGGGGAAAGACCAGTAGAATGAAAGTAATGCAGAGATAAATTTGGAGGTGGAGGGTAAGGAATCTGCAGTTATTCATGCCCAATGGCCCTGGGGTAGCTCAGTGAGGTTAGGAAACAAGGTTATCAGTTGAGAGAGAGATGGTGTGACATAACTAGAGATGGAGGCTTGGCTTCAGTTGGGGCTAGGTGGCCACCTGCCAGGACATAACACAGAGGAATCAGGATCAGGTTCAGGATTTCTAAACTGCCTCACAATTCAATGGTTCTATGAATCAGATGGGCAGAAATGTTGCTTTATTCACTGATGTTTTCTCAACACCCAAAACAATGCCTGGCATACAGAAGGCTCTCAAAATAAATTCACTGAATGAATGAATGAATGAATGCATACTTAGATGAGCCTCTCATCCAAACAAGCAAATAAAACCTTTTAGTTGAAATTACCTATTTTAATTTAAACTCATTTTAACATTTTTAAGAAATCACAGATGTTTTCCAGAGCCTTGAAACTTAATACAATCCCAGTCTTCGCTCCTAATCTCCAGACAATACAGCCAAGGCAAATCAGATAACACAGGCTTCAAAGTGGGCATTTTTACCTTGAATTTTTCCCTGGACTATCTTAGAGCAAATTATCAAGAAAATGGCCAAATCTTTATTTCATTGTATTATACAATAAGCTTCTCTGAACTGAGTAAGTTTACTCACTCAGATTTTCATTTAGATTCTACCATTGTAGGTAGAATGTAGCCTTCACCTTTTCTGACACATCAAGCTCTTTCTCTTCTTTTTGGTCTTGGTGACATTTACCACTGACCAAAGGAAAAAGAAGGGAAAAAACAAGACTCTTTAAAAAGGCAAGTTTAAAAAAAATAAACATAAAAAATAAAAAGGTAAGTTTAACTGGAATAAAAATATAATGCAGGCAATATTAGGTTGCTGCTAAAATGGGTCTCTGTTGAATATTTCCCATGCATTACCTGGGTGGAAGACTTTGGTTTTCCCACTAGTGATTCCAGAAGAGCTTGCCTCCATTTTTATTGACCTTCTGCCTGGTGGAAGTGAGGAATGCCTAACCACAGGCAGGCGACGTGATCCTGGGCGGCTTGCCACACTTCGCCGTTGATGGATTTGCAAACACTTTTCAGCCCCATGAATAGATAAACTTAAACCTGGAATGAGAAATAGCACCATTATTATTAAAGAAGTCACTTCTGAATGGTTAAAATGCCAAATTATTTTCTGGCATGAAATACAGACAGCATAAGTAATTATGGTTCAAATTCTTAAGGGATGCTAATGACACTGGAATTCTGATACTGATTGATTTTCACATTGCATTATTCACTGAACATTAGTTCATTCAAAAGTGGACATTCTCAGTTCTCATGACAAGAGTTTCGTGAATGAGGTCCAATAAAGTCAAATATTAAAATTCTTTCCAAAATCCTGGGAAAATATGCACTTTATTTAGATTAGAAACTATTGCTGGGGTATCTGGAATTTCAATAAAAATTGAGCAATTTTTTTCCTTTCTTAAAAATATTTTAATTCCAGTAGAATTAACATACAGTGTTAGTTAGTTTTAGGTATACAATATAGTGATTCAACAATTCCATACATCACCCAGTGCTCAATACAACAAACTCTCTCCTTAATGCCCATCACCTATTTCACCCATCCTCCCACCCCCCATGCACCTCCCCTCCACTAACCATCAGTTTGTTCTCTATAGTTAAGAGTCTGTTTCTTGGTTTGTCTCTCTTTTTCTTTTGCTCATTTGTTTTGTTTCTTAAATTCCACATGAGTGAAATCACATAGTGTTTTACTTTCTCTGATTTATTTCATTTAACATACTCTCTAGCTCCAACCATGTTGTTGCAAATGGCAAGATTTCATATTCTTATGGCTGAATAATATTCCATTATATATATATATATATATACACACACACACACACACACACACATATATATATATACACACACACCACATCTTCTTTATCCATTCATCAGCTGATGGACACTTGGGCTGCTTCCATAATTTGGCTATTATAAATAATACTGCAATAAACATATGGATGCATGAATCCCTTTGAATTAGTGTTTTTGTATTTTTTGGGTAAATACCCAGAAGTGTGATTACTGGATCATAGGGTAGTTCTATTTTTAACTTTTTGAGAAACCCTCATACTGTTTTCCACAGTGGCTACACTAGTTTGTATTCCCAACAACTGTGCAAAGGGGTTGCCCTTTCTCTACATCCCCACCAAAACTTATTGTTTCTTGTGCTGATTTAAGCCATTCTGACAAGTGTGAGGTAATATTATAGTTTTGATTTGCATTTCCCTCATGAGTGATGTTGAACATTTTTTCATGTGTCTGTTTTTTTGGAGAAATGTCTATTCATGTATTTTGCCCATTTTTAATTGAATTATTTGTGGGTTTTTAGGTGTTGAGTTTTTAAATATATTTTGGATAGTAACCCTTTATCAGATGTGTCTTCAAATATCGTCTCCCATTCAGTAGGTTGCCTTTTAGTTTTGTTGATTGTTTCCTTCACAGTGCAGAAACTTTTTATTTCGATGTAGTCCCAACAGTTTATATTTGCTTTTATTTATATAGTGTCCTAAGTTTTTACAGACTTTGTTTTAAAGTCTATTTTGTTTGATTTAAGAATTGCTACTCCAGCTTTCTTTTGACACCCATCTGCATGATAAATGTTTCTCCATCCCCTCAATTTCAATCTGCAGGTGTCTTTAGGTCTGAAATGAGTCTCTTTTAACCGCTGTCACCCTATGACTTTTGATTAGAGCATTTATTCAATTTACATTCAAGGTAATTATTGATATATATGTGTTAATTGCCATTTTGTTACTTGTTTTGTGGTTGTTTTTGTAGTTTTTCTCAAATCCTTTCTTCTCTTTCTTTCATGGCTTGTTAGTTTTCTTTAGTGATATGCTTCGATTCCTTTCTCTTTATTCTTAACATATCTATTAGTGGGCTTTGATTTGTGGTTACCATTTGGTTTGTAGATAAAATCTTCTGCATATGGCAGTCTATATTAAGTTGATGGTCGCTTAAGTTTGAACCCATTCTTTACTCCTCTCCATGTTTTAGTTATGTGGTATCATATTTTACATCCTTTTATTTTATGGGTCCCTTGACTGATTTTTTACAGAAATACTTATTTTTACTGCTTTTGTGTTTCCTACTTTTCATACTCTCATTTATGATCTTTCCTTTCCACTCAAAGAGTTCCCTTTATTATTTCTTCTAAACCTGGTTTAGTGGTCATGAACTCCTTTAGTTTTTGTCTGTGAAACTCTATCTCTCCTTCTATTCTGAATGATAGCCTTGCTGGATAGAGTATTCTTGGCTATAGATTTTTCTCCCTCAGCACACCGAATATATCATGCCACCCACTTCATTTCTGGTGAAAAATCCACACATAGCCTTATGGGGACTTTCTTGTATGTAACTGACTTCTTTTCCCTGGTTGCTTTTAAAAATTTTTATCACTACTTTTCACCATTTTGATTACTATGTGTCTTCATGTGGACCACCTTTGGTTGATTTTGTTGGGGGATCTCTGTGCCTCCTGGATCTGGATATGTTTCCTTTCCCAAATTAGGAAAGTTTTCAGCTATTATTTCTTCAAATAAATTTTCTGCCCCCTTTTCTCTCTCTTCTCCTTCTGGGATCCCTATAATGCAATGTTATTATGCTTGATGGAGTAAATGAGTTCCCGAAGTCTATTCTCATTTTGCATAATTTTTCTCTCAATTTTTCAGTTTTATTACTTTCCATTACTTTGTCTTCTAGTCATTAATTCATTCCTCTGCTTCTTCCAGCCCATTTAGTCCACCAAGTTTATTTTTAATTTCACTTATTGTGTTCTAGATCTCTGATTGGTTCTTATTTATGTTTTCTATCTCTTTGTTAAGGGTCTCACTGGTGTCCTCCACTCTTTTCTCAAGGCCAGTGAGGATCTTTATGATCATTATTTTAAATTCTCTCTCAGGCATGCTACTTATATCCGTTTCACTTAGGTCTCTTGCTGTGGTTTTGTCCTATTTTTTCATTGTGATATATTCCTCTGTCTCATTTTGTCTAGTTCTCTGTGTCTGTTTCTGTGTGTTTGGGAAGTCATCTACATCTCTTGCTCTTGAAAGTAGTGGGCCAGCTGTGCACTTTTAACTAGGTAGTGCTGGTCCTCCTCCACAGGGGATATACAGCCTTAGCAAAGACCTGGGCTAGCCTGGCCACTCTACAAAGTACCCGCAGGTGAGAGATGCATTCTTAACAAAGTGCCCACATCTTCCACAGGGGGTTGGGAGATATAGTGTTGGTGAGGTCTCTGTGGGTCTTTTCAGGGAGGGGATCTGTAGCACCAGGATTGAGGCAGGACTGTCTGGAGGGGCAGGGCACAGTATAAGCAAGTTAGGTAGGGAGTGCTGGTGCCGGCTGGTTCCCACAGGTGGCTGTGTGTTTATGATGAGGGGTAGGGTAGAGAAATGGCACCTGCCAGCTCCTTTGTTCCTGGAAAAGTCTCTCAGGGAACTCTGATATTAGTAACTAACTTTCCTTCCTGTACGTTCCAGGTGCCTTTCAAACTGCAGCTTCCAGGCTGCATCTTCACAGGCTGTTTGCTGTCCTATCTCTTTAAGGGTCGGGGCTCAGCTTCCTATTGCCCTCTGGGCACTGAGAGCTGAGCCAGCTGATTTTTAAAGTTCCAAGGTTTAAGGCCTGCTGATTTTAAGTACTCATGAAATTCAGTCCCTGATTCTCAGAGCCAAATGCTATAGGGATTTCTCTTTCCCTTATAGGCTCCCCAGTGTGTTAGTCTGTTTCTTACCTCTCTCTGTACCTGTGGCTAACCTCTGCCCAGCAGTTAAATCCACAGGGTTTAGGTTCCCACCAAGCTCTTGCCTCTCCTATCCTGTTCAATGTGGCCTCTTTTCTACATTTAGTTGTGGAATTTGGCCAGTCTTTGGGTCCTCTTCTGGGTTGTTTGCTCTGAAGTGAGTATTATCTAGTTGTATCTGTGAGATGAGGTGAACTTAGGGTCCTCCTACTCTGCCATCTTCCCTAGAAGTCCCCAAGCAACTTTTAGTTAAAAAAAAAAAAAAAATCAAGCAACTTTTTTCATAGGATTCATGTATAGACCACAGTTGAAGATTGAACTCAGATTTATGCCTCTGATCTTAGAATTATGTACCTTTTTAGAGGTAATTTATCCAGGAAAATTTCAAACATACCAAAAGCAAAAAGATTAGTATAATAAATTCCATGTACCCATTACTTAGCTTCAACAAATATCAAGATTTTTTCCATAAAGCTGGTGAGAAAAAAAAAATTTTTCTAATCTTGTTTCATCATATTCCACTCCCTTTGTTGTTGATTTGCTTTTTAGGTGCTAGAGTAGTTTAAAGCAAACTCTAGACATCATGTCAATCTCATCAAAAACAATATTGATTGTATTGACTTACACTGATTATATCAATATGGACTACACCTGATACATATGAACCATATAAAAAATTCAAGATATTTTAAAATAATAAAATTATTAATAATCAAAATATTTTTTAAAAGAACACTCATTGATCACCATTAGAGGTTGCTAAAACACCAATTCATTACTCAAAATTGATAAAGGGAAAGAAGCAAGCATTTATCCTTGCCTTTCCTTTACTAACCATATTTCAAGGTAACCAAGTAGTTGATAAAATAATGTTTTCACTACAGATTTCCAACTATTACTGATGGAAAAGAGAATTGGAAAGTAATTTTAGAAGCCTCAGTGAGATATGAAAGATAAGTTTTGTCTAAAGAAGCACTATGAGGACAGAGCTAGAATTCAAACTCATGGAAGACTAAATCCAGATCTTTAAAAAAAAAAAAAAAAGCCAAGGAAAGATGTTAGCCTTATTTAATGCCAACAAGCCAGGGGAACATGGTCAGGAATTATGCCATCTGATGGAGGAAAGTTGAGCCTCACCAAATTGCAGAACTTTTTATTAAGAGGAGAATATCTTGAAATTTGAAGGTAGAAATTTAGATTTGGAAGTTACCTTAGTGGTTGGCTAACTAATCCGGTGCCTTATATAGATGAGGAAACAGCCTGGCAGGGAAAAACAGTCTACTTATTATCAGTACTGGAAGGCCAT